AGATTTGGGGAGGGTACTGAGGTTCAATAGGGACACTGCAGTATAGATTACCATATCCAAAATGCTATGGCTTGTGCTATTAGTGGAGGATGTGGCAGGAGTAGGGGCCTGTGACTGTGGTCAAATATGCTTGAGAACATTCCGAGTACTTTCTGTGTTGCCCTCATTTTGTACAGCATAAGGTTATGAAAATATTTGCAATCAGAAGTAGAAGGTGCTCAACTTGTTTGGGAAAGCATTTCTTAAATGCAAAGTTTCTGTTGACTCTCCATTTCAATTCATGTCTGCTTCTTGAGCATTTAGCTTTTAGGCCATAAGCTCGACAGCAGCAATCTAGTTCACAAACTCATTGACCAGGCACAGACCTTAAGCTACAGAGCACACAGAAGGCTGTGTGTAGCGAGATGAGATGAGGGTCAACATCAGGGTCAGCATCAGTGCAAGCTCTGCATGGAGGTGTCCAGATTAGCGAGATGAAGGACTGCCATGCCTCCCGTGGCCAGCTTTCTCAGCTATCCATCCTTGAAGGGAATGATTTCTACCTGAAGCGAGAGGTGACATTGCTCCCCACCATGAAGATGCTGAAATCAAGATCAGATGTACATAAACCGGAAGAGGCAGGTCCACTGCATGGTCCTTTCTTTCCTGGTGACATATGACCTCAGACTTCACTGAACCCTGTGCTTGTTCACTCTGGTTTGTTTCTGTGTGATTCAAAATACAGGTGCCCATTAGTTTCAAATCAGTGATGTCACTCTCTGTATTTCTGAGGAAGATTCCAAGAGCCACAGAAATTGTGATTTTGGACGTAACTGTTTGAAGTCCACAGTCTAATGAATGAGACTGACACTCCTGGTACCAGCAAACACAAAACAGAGTGATAAAAATTAGAATTAAAAGTAGGGTCAGTATCCTCATTTTCAGCTGCCAGTAATGATGAATTGAGAGTGTTGATCACAACTAATGTAACACGGGTAGCCTACGCTAACCAATAAGTGCCTTGAGGGCTTAGTATAGTGCCATATGGGTGCATGGAGCACTGTGTCCCTAGTCTCCTCAACACTCATATGACGTGGTTTCTCTCATCTCTGAAATGCAGTTGGAAGTGGTCAGGATGGAGTGCCAGGCTTCCCAAAGAGGGAAGTTTTACCTGATTAAAATTCAGGAAGGGACAGTATGAGACTGAAGATAGAAACAAAGAGAGCTAAGGAGCAGCTCTAACTGGAAAACACACAGGGGTTTCTGGGTAGGGAACCCATGAGACCTTGCATGGGTGAGGTTGCAAATGGCAAAAGCAGACTGGATGATGGTGAAGAGACGCTGGGAGCTGAGGCTGGGAGAACTAGCGAGAGGGAACTGCCAGCCTCGTTGCAATAGTGGGGAAGCACAAGGCTAGGAAAAGACAGAAACTGTGTCATCTGGGTGTGTGCTAGCATGGTCCTGTCTGAGGCCGCAGGTTCAGACACTTACAGCAACTTGTTCATGAACTTGGGTCCCTCTGCTTATCTCTGTGAAGTATTTTCATGCAAGTTAATAAACAGTGTTTAGAATTTGATTGATTTTTCTAGGAGGTATAAGTTTTTTAAATAAATTATGTTAGCTGCTTTTCCATATCACTGTCACCAAAATGCATGTCAGAAACAGCTTTGGGCAAAAAGATTTTTTGTAATTCACAGTGTTAGAGGGTTCAGTCCATGTTACTTGGCCACCCACTGTTTAGGCAGAACATCAGGCAGTGAGGACACGTATTGGCCAAGAGTTGTTTAGCTCATGGAAAACAGGAAGAAGAGGGAGAGAGAAAAGGACTCAAGGCCAGGTGTTACCTTCCAGTAACCTAGTTCACCTAGTCTCCTACTTCTAAAAAATTCCTAAATAGCTGAGCCTGTGGGGGCATTTCATGTCCAAACTACAACTGGTAGTCTTTCCACAGATGCAAAACAGAAAGTCAAAGGACCTTATCAAGTAATTTTCCTTCATTCAGGTTAAATATACATACACTACAATCTTTCTTCTAAATCTTCTGTGTCTGGTACCTTCTCTTCCATCTACTGTTGAAGGTGAAAGATGGAACATTATCTTCCACAGATAAGAGGGTGGAGATAATAAAGACCCACACAGACTACTGTCTTTAAAGGTTTCCCCTTTGCCTTTGGGAGGCACCCAGCTTAGCTCTGCAGTGGTGGAGGATCTTAGCTGACAGAGGGTAAGCTTTTAGTAACAAAGCTACTTTTTCCTTTTGGTGGATTCCCCCACAACAAGGGAGACAGGGAGGAGAAAGGCCAGTGGGGCTAGTAGCCTGGCTAGTTGCCCTGGATTCTAACTCCTGTTGGGAAATGGAGCCTTCCCAAGAATGAGAAAACCCCACATATGAGCCAGGGAGTAGATCCAACAACCCACATTTCGGCTTTGGGCTAAGATGAATACCACCTCTTGAAAAGATTGGCTCTGCAATTACCACCAAATAAACAACCAATTAAAATGTCTTCTTCCCCCTGTGTCTTCCCCCTCGTGAAACTTTCTCATCTCAGAGAACAGGGGCAGAGGTAGCTTTCTATAATAGTGTGTCTTCTATGCCTGGGAGATCTTTTGAGGGAAATGGGTAAGTCAGCTAGGAAAAACATGTGGAAAGAGTTGCTCCAAGAATATCTAGCCTCCTCTGCATTTGCATTCTCTCCTCTCTGCGTTATTTTTTTTTCTGTTCCCCATGGGCTGGGGTCAGCTTAAAAGAGAGGCTGAATGGGAATTGTTAGACATGCATAAAATTGAAGTTGGCCTTGTCATTAGTTATGTGACCCCTGCACCCCTGCCCCTTCATCTGTAAGATGAGGATACATGATAATTGCTAACTCTGCACCAGGGCTCACTCCATGCCGGCCATCACCCAGACTCATTTCCGCTTCCATTATTAACTTCCTTAATCCTCTGAATAACTCAAGGAATGGTGTTCCATTGTCATTCTTGTTCTCTATATAAAGAAACTTGAATAAAGGAAGGTGAGTAACTTGCCCAGATGCCTAGATATTAAAAAGATCTGGATTCAAACCTGGAGCTGTAGCTTGGGGGCATTCCATTTTACCCATGCTGGACATCGAAGTACCAGAATTGAGGCATGTGCACTCCAATTGGCATGCTGGCATACAGCGAGTACTCAATAAATGCTGGCTTTCTCAGTCCTCATTCCAATCTTTGATGGCAGAGTTATTAGAACTCTTCATGAGGCCTCTGGTAGAAGAAGCTGGATGTGAGTCCCCAGAAAAAGACAATTACAAGATTTTGAATCAGCATGTTAGCTTATAATGTTATCCCTGGAATTAGCCACTATGAGCCTGTGTTTCCTCTCCCAGTAGTCTTTTCTTCTGACAAGTAATCAAACTGAAGAACACATGGGCATTTGATCTCATGGAGACCTATGATGGGAGTGGCCCGAATGTAGTAGCTGTCATTTATGGTGTTTCAGATTGGAGGAGAGCTGAGGCAAATGGTGCCTCTGAGTCAGGAACCACTAGAGGTGAGACCAGGACATAGATATTTTAGTTTCCACATTGCCCAATTTAAAATCAACTCTATCAGTTTTTACTGGAGTCTCACTGGGTACACAAACCTCAGCTGAAAGTTAGGTTCCGAGAGATGAACAAGGCAACTTCTCTATACTCAGTTGCCCTAAGAACATGGTATATGGTATGCGTAGACAGAAAAAAAAGGCATGAACACATTTCTAACCTCAACCAACAATGACTGTCTGCTACTTACAAAGCAGCGTGGCTGATGGGAAGCATGCGAGGGTGGCATTGAAAAGGAGCACAGTATGCCTGGGACTAACCCAAGCAGAAAGCAGAGGCAGCCTCTCATCAATGATGTTTCTGCACTAGTGAGGGAGTCTACCCAATGGTAGGTTCTTATTTCTTGACCGCATAGAATACATGTCTCCTTCTTCAAAGCTCCTCTCTCTGTCTCTCTCCTTTATTCTCTGCCTCTCACTCTCAGTTTCCTGTTCTTCTTTATTCTTTTTCTCTCTCACACACACACTTTCCTCCCTCTCTCATTGCTTGGCTCCCTAATCAACAAATTTCTCCCTATATTGAAGGAGTGATTACTGTAGCATGAAGAATTAATTTATTTCTAAGGTATGACCACCTCAATGACAGCAGCCCCAAGCATGACATCTTCAGTCTACAGATAATGAAATAGAGTTTTACAGAATGCAGAATGGTCGATGGGTGGCAGCATGATGCTTCCAGTGAAAAGAAAATACATTTCCAAGTTATCCAGCATTAATCTTGAACCCCAGTGCTGCATCTTTGGATGACCTATTTAAAATCATCAGACCACACATTTCTCATCTTTAAAAAAATGTCATGATACCTCCTTAAAAGAATAATGTCAAGCCAGGCAGTGGTGGTACACACCTTTAATCTCAGTACTTGGGAGGCAGAGACAGATAGATTTCTGTAAATTCGAGGTCAACCTGGTCTACAGAGCGAGTTCCAGGACAGGCTCCAAAGCTACAGAGAAACCTTATTTCAAAAAACCAAAAAAAAAAAAGTAAAAGGAATAATGTAGAAATGAAAAACACCTTCTACAGCAGCTGAGTACATGACCAAGGCGCATAGTGAAAGAGGCCAAGCCCAGAGTACATGTTATCAAACCCATGCTCTGTGTTCTTGTTCTACACACGTCTATTATGTGGCCCTCACCTTAGTGAAAATGACATAATTCTTAGAAATATGAGTATTGGTTCTCGATGCATCTAGATTCAAAACTGAACCCAGCTATTGGTAGCTAACCTTAATATATTTCCTTTCAGTTAAATGGGATAATATAACATTTTCAGGGAAACGCAATGATGTGGGGCTTATCAAGAGTTTAGCTACTGTGTCTAGTGGTGTAAGAGGTACCCATCCTGTGGTGTAAGAGGTACCCATCCTTCGGGGGAGATCCTGCTGTTTGAATATTACATTTGGGGGACATTGATAACAGCCAAGGTTACTTTTGTGTTTCAGAGCCTACTTGGACATTAATGAGCTAAAGAACATTCTTAGATTGGATGGATCAACACACCTCAATATTTTCTTTGCAAACTCTTCAGAGGAGGAGTTGGCGGGAGTGGCAACTTGGCCCTGGGACAAGGAGGCCCTAATGCACTTGGGTGAGTCTTAGATTCTCCTTTAGAACCATACAGAGCAAGTCAGTATGGATTTTAGTGTGAGGAAGACTTCGGCACAACCATAGCTGTGCAGGTAGAAATAGTAATGGGAATAACTCATTTATTTGTCTAATTCACGAAAACCTGCCATCTCTGACCCTACTTTTGATGACCTGGCAATACTCTGATAGAAATAGTTTTCTTGATAGGAAAACTCAGAGCCAAAGAACAAGTGGGTTTATCCAAGGTTATGTGCATTGGCAGGGAAGCCTCAGAGCTCAGGCTTCTGCGTGTCTGGAAACTGCCTTCTTCTTGTACCTCCATTCCCTAACCCATGCATACTTCTTGGCTGCTAACCGCATTTTCCTGGCACAGCTGGGCTGAGGAATCCTGAAAGACACCAAAGAAGCAACAGAAAGAGAATATATAGGTACTTTTCTTCATCCATGTTCTGTCCACTAACAACACAGAGAGCTCTTCTGACATTTAAATTATGCATATTTGTAACACATCAGTTTGTACGGTCTAATCTCTGAACATTGGAAATCACAATCATTTTTGAACTAGGAATAGTAAAAAAATAGTCTTTTATATATTTTTCCATATTCTTGTCCAGTACACATGAATATGTAAAGGCAATTTTTACTTGTATAGACTTGAATCTATAGTATAGGCACAATTTTCAACTCTGCTTTTCATTTGATACTCTAGGCTATCTATACGTTTCCATGTTATAGGAATTTACAATTACTTCTGGTCCTACTGTTTTTCACCTAAAATCACAAAAGAAAAGTATCTCTCTGGATTATTTACATTCAATAAAGATGAGGGTTTTTTAAAAAATAGGCATCTAATATTCCATTGAGCAAGGTAGTAAAGTGGGTTTAAGTGTTTTCCCTCAATGAAATGCTCTCATCCTGTATAACAGTAAGCTCTGGTGACTCAGTGAGATTCTTGACTTGAGAATTCCAGCACTCAGCAGAGTCGCAGTGCTGGATGCATTCTAGGCCCATCACAGGGCCATCACAGTCAGCCTGTAGTAAACCCAGAGTCGAGTAGCTGCTCTTAATCCATGGTATTTTAAGATGAAGAGTACTATAACTTCAGCTGAAGACAGCTGTGCTAAATCAAATCATTGGCTTCGTTCTCTATTATTTTTAGGGTAATGAAGCTAGTGTGTGTGTGTGTGTGTGTGTGTGTATGTGTGTGAGAGAGAGAGAGAAAGAGAGAGAGAGAATGAGAGAGAGAGAGAGTGAGAGAGAGAGAGGCAGGGGGGAGGCAAGATAGTAAGAGGGAGGGAGGAAGGGAGAGAGATGGGGAGAAAGACAGAACTTTTTCCTAAATGATACATACAAAAGTTAAATCTTCTCAACTGAGGCAAGTCTGGTTCATAAGAAACTCTTGTCAGTTTTGATCATTACAGGTGAGGCATACTACAGGCTTCTAGTGAGTAGTGGTAATAAAGCAAATTTTTCTACAGTAGCCCTAACAAAGAACTGGGAGCTCCAAAATGTCAATAGTGCTTAAATCAGGAAACCCTGCAGTCTGGGAAAAGTGGTAGGACAGGCATGGATAGGTGCTGAGCAGGACAGATTCTGCAATCCACGCAAACTTGAAGATGATTTGTCCTTATCACTTGTTTAGGATGTCTTGGGAAAGGGATCCTAGACTAGAGACAAAGGCATTCCTTAACAGAATGGATCTAGGCAAGATTCCTTGAATTTGTTTCCTAAAATTTTGAAGATGTGGGTTAACTAGATGACCTCCCCAGGTCCTTATGAGCTATGAAATTTGCTCTTATTGAAATAAAAGCAACCAGAAGGTTCCTGATCAGCATCTGGGGCAGGCTGAACAGCAGTCTTCTAACACAGAGAGAAATACTCCTGATGATTTCATGAATGTCAGAGTCTGGATAAGGGCCAGGAATAGGGGAGGCTGTAAATCTATAGCATGTGATAGTATTTCAGAATGATGTCAGCCTCAAGCTATTTCACCTTTTAAGAGAAGTCATGAAACAGGACTTGGGGCCAAGTGCTGTCATTCCATAGAAAAAGGTCAATTGGGGTAGAATGAACAGAGCCAGGCTGGACAGTAAGTCAGCTATCCTATCACCATCCCTGGGCTTGTCCTGCACCCTGGTAACTGCTGGGTTTCATGGAGAGGTCATGGGTGATGAACACTGTTGCGGTTGCTTAGTTTAGAACTTTCTAGAGAAACAAAACCAGACTCTCAGAAGCATAAGGGCAGTGTGAGGAAGGAGGATTGCTAGTAATGTCATGTTGCCTCCATTGGCCTGTATGCTGCCCACTCTCCATCCTGAAAGTGGCTGATTGTAACCAACTCCTGGGTAGCAGCCTCAATCAAACTCAGTTTAATAGAAACATAGTTTTTAACTCTCCTTTCTTGCTATTACTCCATTGTTCCTGGAATAAGCCTTGGGTGGGAAAGGGATTATGTTCAGATTATGATTGACAGAAGAGAATTGAAAAAGATTTCCTGTTTCAATTTCTCTTCTTCTCCTGCCTCTGTCTACCCTTCTCACAACACACACACACACACACACACACACACACACACACACACACACACATCTTTATCTTTGTGTTAGAAATCCCTAAGCGATTCAGAATTGGTAGACTCCGTGAGGCTGAGGACAGACCAAGAAATTCAGTCCAACATAAAACTTGTCTCAAGTCTGCCCTGAGCACACCATTCCAACTCTACAAGGCACTACAGCCCTGTCCTCCCTCCATGAGACACTTCCCTGTACTTATCGTCTCCACTCACAAGGCTCCCATACCTTAATATTGACCTTCTCTCAAACACTTCCAGTGTTTAAAGTTTAAATCTTCCTTTACATACACAGCCCATGTGTCTCATCTAAGACACGTGTAGAGCAAGTACAAGCTATTGCTTCTACTGAGGTTTTTCTGCCTCTACAAAGTGTGTGACATGCCCTCTTCAAAGACATGAGGTATGGGGATTTATTTCTCAACCCTGAGCAGTCAGATAAGTCATCGAGGGCTCTTGTTAAAATGCAGATGGTGATGCTACAGGTCTGAGTTGGGACCGCAAACTCGTTTCTGCTAGGTTCATAGGTAGTTTCTATATGTCTTGTTCTCATATAGGTAGACAATAAGTAGCTATTTGATATCTGCCAGGGTTACTCAACCTGCTTAGATGTGTTGTTACTCATCAAATATTCAACAGTTTACCAGTGTTCCAGTTTTATTCTGTTGATGTGATAAAACACTTAGACCAAAAGCAGCTTAGGCTTTATTTAGTTTATACTTCCAGATCACAATCCATTTTGAGGAGAATCAGGGCAGGAACCTCTAGGCAGGAACCACAGAGGACTACTGCTTGTTGGTTCACTCTTGGCATTGCTCTCTCACTAGTTCATGCTTAGCGTTTATACAGCCCAGGCCAACATTTTAGAGGAAAGGTGCTACCCACAGTGGGTTGGGCCGCCTACACAAATTAATAATCAAGACAAGTCCTCAGAGACATACCTCAGACCAACGTCGTCCAGGAAAAGCGTTACTTGAGACTTCTCTTTGCAGATGACCCTTAATTTTGTCCAGTTGACAATAAAAGTAAACCAAGACAATCAGATACTTTATTATAACCTCTGTGATAGTCATTAACACTGGAACAGAGAATACGAGCCCTGAATTTAGAATCCAAGAATGTTGATTTCAAATTTTATCTCCATACTTCTGTTGATCACAGCCAGGTCACTCTGGCTCTCTGTGGATGAGTGCCTTTGTGTTAGAGTTATGATATGGCGTAATGGGAGCCATAATCCTTAGAGAATCAGCACAGCATTGAAGGATACATAATAAATACTCAAGAAACATCAGATTTTATTATAAGCATCTTTTGAACAGAGCACAACCCAGTGCTGGCTTTCCTAAATGAAAACATGAGATTCAAAGATGGCAACTTAGTTGTGGGATATCACAGAGTTAATGAATGTATAATGAAAGCCAGAGCTGAGGAGTGTGAACCTGTATGAGGGTCACATCTATATAGGAGCATTTAAAATGAGTGTAAAGTGTATCATATGTTAGTGTCTAAGGAAGTAAGTCAGGTCAGAGCAGAGATCAAAATCCCTACTTGGAGTAGTGTGTTTTCAGTAGCTCAGCATCACCTTAGGCTAGTGCTATTTCTTCATAGGCATAAGTGTTCTCTCTATAGATGTAATAGAAAGTGATTCACGACACTCCTACCAATTTTGGTAACCAATGACTCACAACAGAGTTGTGACACCCATGGGGCAATAGGATCATAGAATGAAGAAGACTGACATTTTACGTAGCATCCTTTAGTCTTTGATTGACTTAGGGACTCTTTCATCCTGAAGCAGACAGTGGACTAATGATCTGGTTTTCTCCTCACAGGAGGCATTGTCTTGAATCCATCTTTCTATGGCATTCCTGGACACACCCATACCATGATCCATGAGATTGGTCACAGCCTGGGCCTCTATCACATCTTCCGAGGCATCTCAGAAATCCAGTCCTGCAGTGATCCCTGCATGGAGACAGAACCCTCATTTGAAACTGGAGACCTCTGCAATGACACAAACCCAGCTCCCAAACACAAGTTTTGTGGAGACCCTGGACCAGGGAATGACACGTGTGGCTTTCATAGCTTCTTTGACACTCCTTACAACAACTTCATGAGCTATGCAGGTAGGACCCTACACATCCCCTATTATAGTCTACTGCATGTCAGACTTGTGCTCTAGTCCTGGCTCAGGGTAGCCTTGACCAAGATGCTTATTTTACTAAGATGAAGAGTTTTCATTCCAAACAGACAGAATAGCATTTAATTCATGAGCATTTCTGGAGTACAGGAGAAATATTATACACGAACTTGTGCCCGATTGCTGAGACAAAAGCCATTAAGTCCAGGTAGAAAAACTATAGGGGTCTGATGGTCTGAGTTATTCACATGCTACCTCTGCTTTCTAAAGAAAACCCAAATCTTTCAACTTGATCTATAAGGTTCCTCATAGTTTGGCAGCTGTGTTGCTCTACCCTGGTGCATTGTTGAAGCTTTCTATTTAACCATGGTCTTCCTCCCATAGATAGAATTTTCTTATGCTCTTTCACTATTGGGAGTTGGAGCAAAAACACATTCTTTCTTAAGGACACAGAACTATTGCATAGTATTGGGTATGGCATTTTCTCTTACCGCTTTTGACTTATTACTCATTACAGCACCTTAACGGCCATCAGAAACAATATTAAGGACTTGTGATCTAGGACCCACCATACCCTGTGTTTCCTGTTAGTTCAGGCTACATCAAGACCATTTAAAGCATTTTTCCAAGCTTTGACAAATTAGAATGAGACACCCCTTCATAGGGGTGGTCACAGCGATGACTATGCTTCCATGTGATAAACGGTCCACAATTGCATACAGTAGGGCCAGTACTGGATTCCACTATAACACCCAACTTAATTATCTCTTTCCCTACTAGAATAAGCAAATTATTTGAAATAAGAGATTGTATTTTTTGTCTTACAAAGAAAATGAATAAACTCTCTTTTGTTCATGTAATAGTTTAGCCATGCTAGTTTATTTTCGAGGTACATAAAACTGTTTCTGCCAATAAGAGTATTTCCCTCTGTATAACCATTTATTGTCTTTAAAAGATTTCAATATGTTCCCTATCACTCAATTCTCACAGCACATCTATGAAGCAGGATCCGCCCCCTTTTTCAGATGACAATACTGAGGCTTACTGGGGTCATTTGCTTCTGATGACACTGGATATTAATGATTATTCCTGCTTCCTGTCTTATGCTATTCTTTTAAAAAGACCGAGTTGATAGTTCAGTGGGGAAATAGGAGAATCTAGATGGCCTTTTCACTCTGCTTCCTAAAGGATGGTGGATGATGCCCTATTCGGTGTGAGAGTGAGATCCTAACTCCGGTTTGAACCAGGAAAGCTTCCCTCCGACTGTCTTATATTCCTGTTGGAGTTTTGGTGCATATTGTGAATGAAAAGATTTTGCTGATGAAGCCCAAAATACTTGATGATCCCAATGATCCTTACTGTTTCCCTCTTACGCTGATTATCCCTGGGGGCTTTCTAGTGTTTGTCTCACATGGTTTAAAAGTGATGTCTCTTGGAAAGTGAATGACCAGTCTCAGGATCTGTAAAATGTCTTTAAGTTTGGTTCTTAAAACAGCCACAGTGCTGGGTATTACCTCAAAAACAGACTTCCACTGGGTTCCCATTCGTAAACATACTGACTCTCTGCATCCGGCATCCTGTGCCCTCAGGCAGCCCTGATTAGGGCACATCTCTATAGCACCTTTCGCTGGCCAGCTCAGCACACATGGGAAATAAACACTAATAAGAGTTTGGAAGTTTGCCTGCTTCTGAGGGGCTAGGAGCTCCCACCAGCTACCAGAACCCCATAAACTCAGTCTCCTTTTTCCCCCCCTTTGAGAAGATCTAAAGGGTGATTAATTTAGTATTGTTGTTCTTAAAGGATCTCCTCAGCTCGGTGACCCGTTAACAGCAGAACTAATTCACTGAGCTGAGATAACAAACTTACACCCACAAAAGCATATTCAAGGCAGTCATGAGCTTGGAAATGTTTGTTTTCTTTAGGATCTCTGATAGATGAGGTGACAAAAGCAGCTGGATGAAATTCAAAATGCAGAACAGAATGGGGCTCTCAGAGCTGAAGGAAGGGATGCACGGGGCTCCCTTCTTCCAGAACAGAGGGCAGAGTCATTGCCAAGTTGACTTCTTCCAGCTGCCTGAACGTGCTGGGTGCTCATTCCTTAAGCAGATCAGTCTGCCAAGATGGTCACAGCTTGTGTGTGCTTTTTAGTGTAATAGTTGTTAGCTATATGTGGCTACTGGGTTCTTTAAATATAGCTGGTGCAAGTGAATACTTGAATTATTACCCTTAAAATATTTTAATTAATTTAAATGGAAAAGGCCACATGTCCTGGGGGCTACCATATTGGTCTTTGAAGACCAACAATAATTCCTCTGATGTACAAAACACTGTATATATAATACAACATAAATTAATCCAAAGAGATAAGTAACATAATTAGCATAACTGGTTTACAGATGCAGAAAATGTGATTCCGATAGCACAAGACTTGCCCAGATGTACTCATAAAACAAGGCAAGCACATGAGTTCAGTCCAAGCCTTTCTTACTGCAGAGTCTGAGTTATTGAGCAGTCACCTTACTATTCTGAGAAGGTTGTGAGGTTCTCAAGTGGTCCAGCCTAGTATGCAGCAGGCAGCTGATGAGTCTAGCACACTTCACCTAAGGAATGTGTTTGTACCAAACCAATGGCTAAGCAAGCCCTTGCCAGATAGCTGGGAATCAAACCTGACCCCAACTTTCTGAAGATAGAAAGCTGTACTTAGGAGGTATTCCAAGCACAAACCATAGGATCCTATGATTTTTTTCAGTCTCTTGTTTATGGCAGCATTTTTTATGCATCAGGAACTTTTAATATGCACATATGCATTGACCCAAACAGTACTTTCTCTAAAGAACATACCTGAAGCAAACAAACCAATTGATGTGTTTAAATATTTAGCAGGAAGAATGTTCTAAGCAGTGTTCCCTCTCCAAATATTTATTAAGTATTTACTATATGCCAGGCACAGGAGATAAATGTTTATCTATGTGAAAAACTAAAAAATGTTTTACAAGATGAAGTTAATTTAATACTGAAATGAACTGCAAAACATCCCACAGGACAGAACCCTGTGACACCGCTGAACATGATGTAAACTATGGTCACCGGACATGACGCTCAAAACATTGGATGTTGTGTCAGGAACCTGAAATTGCAGTTCCTACATTGTAGTATTTGATCATAGGCAAATTATTTATTTTCTCAGAGACTCGTTTACTTTATCATTTCATGGAGAATAATCACTCTTAACATTGAATGATGACAGATATGACGACCATACAAGGAAAGAATCTAGAATTGTCCTTGGTAGGATAAATGGTGCTTGAAAAATAATAACTAACCTGATTATTTATTAACTAATTGAAGTGGAGAACAGCCCGGTCATATGTGTAAGACACATATAGAATGAGAATTAAAGAAAATTGCTGAGTTCACACCCATAGTATATATATATATATATGTATATATATATGTGTGTGTATGTATGTATGTATACACACTTTTGAATCATACACTAATTTGTTTATAGGTACTGACCTCAGGGTGATGCTCATTTTGGATATATTTCAAAACCTTTACAGTCAATATAGCTTTTCAAATCATTTATTACTGAGACTATTGTTATGATTTTTAAAAACAGAACCCAAACGACAAGCTTTACAAAAACTGACCCATTTACCTAGGTGCTGAATGTCAGCAAGTTGGTTAAATGCTCACATCAGCTCTTTGAGGAAGGAACTGTCACCATCCCTCCTATTGCAGTGAATGGAAATAAGGCTGCCGGGGTCATCATTTTGTTCAAGTTCCTACAGGAGGTAGAGTTACTGAGCGTCTGCCCTTATCTTCCATGCAATGCAGCCCTCAGAACATGACTTGGGTTGCAAGCATGGAACACTGAGGTGATAATAGCATGGTGGCCCAAGAAGTTTCTCCAAGAGCTGAAGTTCTCAGTGTCTCCTCGGCTTAGAGACAAAATGGGAACAGAGGAACAAGATGAGCCTGAAGGCTTAGATAAAGAGACCACAGATGGCAAAAGTGAAACTGTCGGAGGCTGGAAGCCAAGAGGGCCTGACTCTAGACATGAGGTAATTGAGACAGAGCATTTATGATGAATGGAATCCCTTTGGGATTTTGCCCAAGATGCTGATAGTAGCTAAGTCCCAGTGTGATGTAGCCTGGGACAGATTTTTTTCAAATTAGTAAGCTCCAAATGCATTCCTATTCCCCTAGTAACTTCCATCACTTATCAATTTTTTTCAAATTGTTTCCTATTGGCAAACTGGGAATAGTTACTACTTAAATTATAAAAGGAAAACAGATGTCTTTGAAGAAAAAAATGCTTAGAAGTTTTTAAAGAAAAAAATAGCTTCTAGGTTCACCCTAATTCAGCTTTTAATTGTTTGCTATTTGAATCTTTTCTAGCACTCTGTGTTTGAGTTGATTTAACTACCCCTAATTTATATGTCCAGAAACCAATACACAAAGTTATGAGGGTTGCTAATAATCAGTTAGGATTTTGTTTTAAGGATGTCCTTAAAATATATCATCAGTCCTCCATTAATGAAGAGATGTGTTAGTGTTTTAACTATAGTGATAATGCTTCAGAAAACCCACCCCTAATTCAATGATTTTCCTCATCTCTGTCCATCATCATTGCTATGTGGAGGTCACAGTGGGCTAGTATTAGCTGGAAAGAATTCATGATTTACACTCTGAGCTTTGTTTCCGCCTTCTCCCAGTTACACACACACACACACACACACACACACACACACTTCCCTCACTTCTCCTCCTGTAAAGCTCCTGTGCAGTTACACACACACACACACACACACACACACTTCCCTCACTTCTCCTCCTGTAAAGCTCCTGTGCAGTTACACACACACACACACACACACACTTCCCTCACTTCTCCTCCTGTAAAGCTCCTGTGCAGTTACACACACACACACACACACTTCCCTCACTTCTCCTCCTGTAAAGCTCCTGTGCAGTTACACACACACACACACACTTCCCTCACTTCTCCTCCTGTAAAGCTCCTGTGCAGTTACACACACACACACACACACACACACACACTTCCCTCACTTCTCCTCCTGTAAAGCTCCTGTGCAGTTACACACACACACACACACACTTCCCTCACTTCTCCTCCTGTAAAGCTCCTGTGCAGTTACACACACACACACACACACACACTTCCCTCACTTCTCCTCCTGTAAAGCTCCTGTGCAGTTACACACACACACACACACACTTCCCTCACTTCTCCTCCTGTAAAGCTCCTGTGCAGTTACACACACACACACACACACTTCCCTCACTTCTCCTCCTGTAAAGCTCCTGTGCAGTTACACACACACACACACACACTTCCCTCACTTCTCCTCCTGTAAAGCTCCTGTGCAGTTACACACACACACACACACACACTTCCCTCACTTCTCCTCCTGTAAAGCTCCTGTGCAGTTACACACACACACACACACACACTTCCCTCACTTCTCCTCCTGTAAAGCTCCTGTGCAGTTACACACACACACACACACACTTCCCTCACTTCTCCTCCTGTAAAGCTCCTGTGCAGTTACACACACACACACACACTTCCCTCACTTCTCCTCCTATAAAGCTCCTGTGCAGTTACACACACACACACACACACTTCCCTCACTTCTCCTCCTGTAAAGCTCCTGTGCAGTTACACACACACACACACACACTTCCCTCACTTCTCCTCCTGTAAAGCTCCTGTGCAGCTACACACACACACACACACACTTCCCTCACTTCTCCTCCTGTAAAGCTCCTGTGCAGTTACACACACACACACACACTTCCCTCACTTCTCCTCCTGTAAAGCTCCTGTGCAGCTACACACACACACACACACACACACACTTCCCTCACTTCTCCTCCTATAAAGCTCCTGTGCAGTTACACACACACACACACTTCCCTCACTTCTCCTCCTATAAAGCTCCTGTGCAGTTACACACACACACACACACACACACTTCCCTCACTTCTCCTCCTATAAAGCTCCTGTGCAGTTACACACACACACACACACACACACACACACACACACACTTCCCTCACTTCTCCTCCTGTAAAGCTCCTGTGCCCACACTCCAGTTCAGCTGAATTCTGAGATGGACCCTCTTATTTTCACCATTGCTCCCACATCACAGATGGGAACCAGAGGTGCCAGGGCAGAAGATGTTGTATCTTCTACATCACACTTCTTTACTGAGCCATCAAACACCCCACTTGCATCTAATCTGTCTTGACTTGCACGTAATCTTTCCAGACTTTCAGGACAAAATACACAAATAGCAGCGATGATGAAAAATGAACCTTTGTTCTGGTCATTCTCAGGCTGAGGTGTGTGTTCTCCTAACAATAGGTGGCCACGAGGCTCAGGGAGTTACACACTGAAAAGATTTACTGTGGCTTATGTACAATGCTTGCAAAGGAACATGGGTCTCTTCTGACTCCGCCAAATGCCTGAAATTTTCCCTCAGGATACTAAAAAAGGAGACTGAAAAATTACTAGGGGAATCCAAGCCAGTTTCTGCACATAAGCTCTCCCACACTCCTGTCCATTCCCTTCAAGGTCATGTCTAGCTGCCCAGCACCTGCCCAAACTTATTTTCTGTTTGTTTGATAAGAAGTGAGTTGATGCTGCTGGATTCCAGTAGCGCATCTATTTTTAAGATCTGGTGAGCTCTACACTCCTCTGTCTGGGGCCCAGCTGCGGTAACCCCTGAGAAATGGTGCATTAAGAAATAAGCCAAACGACACTTTTTTTCTCTTCCCGGAGAGGGGGGTGGGACTGAATCATACTGTTGGAGAAAGAAACAGGAGACAAACCTTTTTCTCTAGAGGCCCAATCTTTGGTCTCCGCCTTCAGTCCACACCCTGGAAAGGGAGAATAGGATTGAAGGTCATTATATCTAGACACGGAGAGATTGTGTCCAATTCCCCTTAGAGTAGAACTGGCTCAGCTTCCATTTATAAGCCACCTGCTGGAAGGCTTTGCCCATAATATATTTCACTTGTGCTTAGGAAAAGAATTCATAGGATCATTTGGAAGCACAGCTTTAGTTCAAGCCCCAGATGTGCTTAGCTCTGTGACCCAGGAAAAGTTGCCTACCTGAACACATACTTGGTTCCCAAGTCTGTAAGGAAGAGAAAATGACAAATGCACTCCAGAAATATCAGGTAACTGTCCAAATTCTGGCACACCATACCTGGCTCATGCATAACACATGCTAAGCATATCCCACAGACACACATACACATGCACTGTAAGGAGATGTGCTTTGGTTTTGTTTTTTAACTTGACCCTAGACAAGGTCATTTGAGGAGAAGAAACCTCATTTGAGAAAACGCTTCCACCAGATTGGGCTGTAGGCAAGTCTATGGGAATTAATTTTCTTGGTTAATGATTGATACAGAAGAGCCCAGCTCACTTTGGGCGGTGTAACAGGTGAGCAGGTGGTTCTGGGTTATACAAGAAAACAGGTTGAGCAAGGCACGGAGAGCAAGCCAGTTAGCAGCATTCTTTCTTCATAGCCTTTGCTTCAGTTCCTACCTTCAGCTACCACACTTGAGTTCCTGCCCTGAAGTCCCCTTAAGATAGACTGTGACATGGAAGTATCATCTAATTGAACCCTTTCCCCCACATATTGCTTTTGGTCATGATCTTTATCACAGCAACAGAAATCCACCTAAGGTATCGCCCTGTAACAGCCTGGAGTGTGTAGCCACTGCTTAGATATGGCCTGGCCTGACCTTAGACTGGATATTATGTTCTAGCTGGGTGGTTACCTCTCTTGTAGTACCCCTTTCTCTCTCATCCTCAACGGAGTTACCTGACTGACCTTGTATACACAACCATCCTAAGTCCTTCCTAGTCTATCCTCTTGCCCCACATTCCATCTCTGTCAAATCACTGATGATCTACATGACAGCTGTCACAGGACAACCCTCTTGACCATGAGGTGAATAGTGTTAGTGCCCTCCTTAAGGCAGGGATATTTTAAATGCCCACTTTCCACAGACTGGCTTACCAGTGAAATATCAGACTGCGTTTCCAGCACATTATTACTGTGTTAGTGGAAAGTAGAGTTGATCAACGCCTGAACAAATGAATGTGAAGGAATGCCTGGAAACCAGAGGGCACAGGGTCCCTGGAAATCAGCTTGTCTTCCTCTTGCCCTTAGCTGTAACGTCTGAGCAGCTCTCTTCTTAGTTCTACCCTGCCCCCTTTCCTCCTGTTTCCTCTCACCTGTCTCCAGGAGTGATGACTGCACTAATTTGTTCACAGACCATTAACTTCTGAGCACTGGAAGAGGCTGCCCTGGGCTGCAGAGTACACACTGGGGTACTGGCTCTCCAGCTGCATGGAGACATCATCCTTCTCTTGCATGCCTGCCTATGCAGCTGGAGGCTTATCCCTCTCTCTCTCTCTCTCTCTCTCTCTCTCTCTCTCTCTCTCTCTCTCTCTCTCTCTCTCAGATGACGACTGTACGGACTCTTTCACGCCCAATCAAGTCTCCAGAATGCACTGTTACCTGGACCTCGTATACCAGAGCTGGCAGCCCTCCAGAAAGCCTGCACCTGTAGCACTTGCCCCCCAGGTTGTGGGTCACACAACTGACTCTGTGATGCTAGAGTGGTTCCCGCCCATCGATGGCCACTTCTTTGAAAGGTGAGTGTCCCCTGTGGAGTGTTGAGCCCTTTCCCCTCCTGCCAGGAAGAGGAAGACTCAGAAAGAAGACAGCCTGGGAGGGTTGGGCTTCTTTTTCTTAAATAGAGACCCCACCACTCATCAGTGACTGAGACCCCAAGGCACACTGACAAGTTTGGGTCAGAGAACGAAAACATGAGCCAGTGATGATGCATATTCCCACATGAATTGGAGGTTAAATTCACTTTACTATTAGAAGCTCAAAAAACCCTGTTGGGTGAGAAATGGGAATCTAATGCACCCTACTCTGGGTTATTTGTCTTTAATCTCAGCACTTGGGAGACAGAGGTAGACACATCTCTGTGAGTTACACACTAGGCTAGTCCACATAGTGAGTTCTTGGATAGTAAGTGCTATACAATGAGAGATTGTTCAACTCCTCCAGTTTTCCCACTCCCCTAAAAGAAGGTTGAATACTTCTATTGCAAGAAATTTCTTCTACTGTTTTCTCCATTAGCCCAGGAATTAAAATTGACTCTGGTTAATAGGAAAACCCCTTCATATTAAATACATATAATTCACGTTATATACAATATGCATGTGTGTCGCTATTCATATTTGCAGAAGAAGTTTATACCTAGAATATTTTGGGAAAACCAGGAACTAATAAAGCATAAGACACCAAAGTTCTGCTCCTTGGTCTGTCATTTGTTACTTGACATGTCAATCTCTCTCAGATTTTTAACTGTGTTCTTGTGAAAATGTGTCTGATTATGCCTTCTGATAATCGGAAGAGGGAGACCTAATTCAATATCTTCTCATGTGTCCTTTCACTATACATTCTCAAGGAGCTCAAGCTTCAAGGAAACTACACACACACACACACCACACACACATGTATATATGTATATATAGAGAGAGAGAGAGAGAGAGGAGGGGGGGAGCCAGACATGTAGTTCAATGGTAGAGCACTTGCATAGAGTCTATCAGACCAAGAATCCAAACCCTGCCACTGCAAAAATGAAAATGAGTATTCATGAAAATAGTTTGCATCTATTTCAGAATCTTGTAGTTATTTATTACTCAGATAATATCTCACTCCCACCCTTCGCCCTTCTTGGGATGACTATCCAGGAATGGGGATATGGCATTGATGATGGTGAAGACAATAGCCATGCTAATTGCTAATCTGTCTGTCTCTGCTGACTTGCAGCTCTCTGTCAAGGGCTCACCATGTGATAGATTCTAATCTGAATGCTTTTTGTAACAGAGTCTTATTTAATATTTCCAGGAACTCAGTATAATAATGTTTTCCTTATGAGCCAGATAAGGAGAGCATTGGAGCTGAAGGGGTCTGAGAAATTTGGCCAAACCTCATAGAAAGTGCTGGAGGCTGACCTTCAACCATGTTTGAAAATGCCTTGTCTGTGAATTCTATATGCTTTCTTTAAGTTTCCCAGACTAGAGGTGTGAAGGAGGTATTAAGTTTCCTCACAAAAGGTGGCAAAAAGCTCTCATTTACAGGTTGTATATATGTGTGTTTTTATATATAAGAAAACATAAAAGACCTGGAATGAGATTTCTTAGTGGTAAAGATGTAAATAGCTAATAAATAATTTCTTAAATGCTCATTATCATTAAGTGCCAGAGAAATTGCAACTTATAAACGAAATGATTTATCTATCACCTCACAATCTTAAAGTGGCTAGTCCCAAAAAGATATACTGAAGTTGGACAAGGTTTATGCAGAAAGGCAATCATGCACACTGCCTGTGAGAATGGAAATTAATACAGCCACTTTGGAAGACCATGGGAATGCACTTGGACAACTGAGCTAGGACTGTATGACTCAGCCCTGCCACTGTGGAATGTATAGCCAAAAGAAATTAAATAGAGGCGAGGAAGGTAGCTCTGTAGTTAAGCCACTTATCGTTGAATCCTGGGGACCTGGTCAGACCCCCAAACCCCAGTAAATTCTGGAAGAACATGGCCTAGGAGACTGGAGACAGAGGGTCCCAGAGAAAACTGGGACAAGCCATAACAGTGAGTTCTTGGTTTGACTGGGGGATCCTGCCTGCATGAGTAAGACAGAAGACCAACAGAGGATGGTTCCTGACATCAGCCCCATGCCTCCACTACAGGTGGTGTGACTGAGTGCGTGTACATGCACATACATGTATGCGCACTCCCATGTGCAAAACACAGGTGCAAAAGACACACAAAAAAAGAAAAAGGAAAAAACAAAAACAGACCAAACATATCGATAGTAGAGGGAGGCACCCTGTCCCATATAGCATAGCATTATTTACAATTGCTAAGATGCAGAAACAACCTGAATATCCTTCATCAGATGAAGAGTTTTTTTAAAATAGCTGTGTACACTGCGGAATATTAACCAGTTAAAAGGCAGTGGGGTGTCTGTCACCTTAAACATGGAGAATGAGACTAGAGGGCCATTATGTGTACTGAACGAAGACAGTCTCAAAAGGAGAAATTCTACCTGATCTCCACTATATGTGAAATTTTATACAGTTGAACTCCTGCATAAGAAAGGATGATGCCTGGCAGAGGAAGGTGAATTTAGGTGGATATGAGGAGTGACGATTTTGGTCAAATGGGTACAATTTCATTCAGACTGCAGAAATAATCCTTAGTGGTCTACTGTACACAAGTGACATTATAATGAATGATAATACTTTGTACATTTCCAAATGGCCAAATTAGTAGATTTTAAGTGTTTTTATCATACATGCAGAAGAATGTTAATTATAAGAGGTGATAAATTTGCCCATCACCCTTATTTCATCATTAAAAACCTGTATGAAAATTTTATCTAATACTTTAAAAATATACAAAATTAAAATCTATGAGTTAAAAATAAGTTTAAGAAATTAAAAACACATTATACTATTATACCACATCAAATTGGGGCCCTAAATGTCTACATAACTATCAGTCACTGAATCTAGAACCTTCCTTCTGCATCCAGGCCAGAATTTGATCTGTTGGGAAGGAAATGTACTCCCCAGGCTCTCTGTAGGAACTCTGTCTCCCTGGCCCCAGCTGCCCTTTTAGAACTCAGAGCTGGGTTTGGGAACTCTCATGTGACAGTTTGAAGCAAGCTTTCCAGCAGCCTGTAGATTTATTTATTTTCTCTGTGGTGATGAGAATTATCAGACTTTTAGTCAAGTTTTGGCCTTGATTCCTCTAAAAAAATAGAAGTTTTGTAAATAAAGCTTCCTGTGTATGTATTTAATTTATATTTCATAAAGCAGTTATTGTCCATTAAATAAATTCCATCTGATAGCTAGAAACCTATTAGAGGGTTAATTGTGTAATGAGATGTGTCTCTATTACATAGCATGCTCAGCTTTAATCAATATGTTTTTAATAACCTATAGTCAGTTAGTACTTGAGGCATATACAATAGCTATTCTGTTCAGGGTAAGATTGCCTAATGGAGTTATCACATGCTAAATTCAAACTGACACTTTGAAACATGTCTAATTATGGTTAGTAGCTATGCAAACCATACTCTAAGGGAAGTTGTTCCACAAGTATCAACAAATTGCTGTGAAAAAAAGAGTGGTACCATATCCTTTGTGTATCATTCCCCCATAAGTTTACAGTCCTACAAATTGATTTAGTATGAGGCACAGAAACTTTGATGTAGGATCTCACACACACAAGGCCACTGCCACCACCACCACCCTTTGCTTCATTGCTCCCAATAGGTGAGACTTTGGGCAAGATCTCTCACTCCTGTGATCCGCAGATTCCTCCTCCATTAAGAGGTGCTAACTTGCCCACACTACCTGTGTCACACGGGGAAGCCAGCAAACAACATCTATGACGTACCAAGCACACATACTCTACATTCAAGGAATGTTAGCTTCCACCTTATGTGAGGTTTTCCAGAACTGTTTAGCTACTTGAAAAATCCCCTTTCCTTGAAAAACCTCGGGTATTTTCCACACCATCCATCAATGCCAGCATCTCGTTCCTGGCCATGCTCATGTCCTCCTGCTGTTCTCACATCTGTGGTCTAGGAGAATACAAGGGTTTCCCTTAAAAAAACATATTCAGATTCCCCCACAGCCTGAGTCCTCACACAGGGGCAACTGAACAAATAGTTCAAGGCCACCCCTGGTCTTTCTAACTCCTTTATTTTATCTGTCTTGCAAACGTGGGGGTGGTTTCAGTTGTCTGAACAATTGGCCATCATATACTGGCAAGCATACTGGACTAGAAACTACGAGACCACGGTCTAAAGTCTCTGCAGATGCATCCATTATTTCTGCTCCTTTAACTTCTGACTTGTAAGTTGAAGAGGCTTAGCCTTGCCCAGGCAGAATTTCTCCTCCGCATCTCCTAACACATAAGATAATGAGTAATTTCCCCCATAAAGGTTATACATACTAGTACCAGTATAGCTGCAAAAACAGAGAAGCTAATTCTCTCTTTATCTAGGATGGCTTAATGAAGCACCATTTAAAAGGACTTTATGTGTTAATGGGACTGTTTCATATCCACACCCAGCAAGATAGCAGCCACATTCACCAAAACAGTGGCCATGCAGTACTTGAAATTATGACTGGTGTAAAAAAGGTTCATATTTAAAGGTATATTTTATATTCCTTAGTTCAAATTTAAATGGATGTATATGTCTACTAGGCTCCTTCTTCAACAGCACATATCTACAGCTTTGAGCTTTGACTCAGATAAACTTTGTAAGAAAGGTAAACACACTAAGCAGTGGTGACACACGGATTTAAATGTCAGCACTTAGGAGGCAGAGGCAAGCAGATCTCTGTAAGTTTGAGGCCAACATGGTCTACAAAGTGAGTTCCAGGTCATCCAGAACTGTTTTTATACAGAGAAACCCTGTCTCAAAAAAGAAATTAAAAAAGAAAGAGAAAGCAAAAAAAAAAAAGAAAAGAAAAGAAAGAAAAATGAATTCCCTCAATATTAGCATTGGACAGGTATATGATTCCAGTGGTGTGTGTGTGTGTATGTGTTTGTGTGTGTGTGTGTGTGTGTGTGTGTGTGTATACAGGTGTCAGTAAAAATAAATGCCAGAGGGAGTTGGGGACACAAGCATTCCCTGGATGCAAAGGATGATACCACACATCAAATTTGCTGTCAGCAGGATAGTGATTTACTCGTCACAGTACTTCTTGAGAACCAGATGCATATTAAGAGATCAGTGATGTTCAAGTCATGCTTAAGGGAAGTGGAGAAACTCAGTAGCTGTCTAGGTCAGCACCATCTCTGAATCCACCCCACAGCATTCATGATGTCACTGTTTTATAACTCAGTAGCTGTCTAGGTCAGCACAGTCTGAATCCATCCCACAGCATTCATGACGTCATTGTCTTGTCTTCATGCTACTCAGAGCTGCTCTGCATGGAAGCTGACATTGTAAGGCACTTCTGTTCTCATTAAGACAGCTGAAGAATCCCCCCCCCAATTCCTTCGCTCCTTCCCATGTTCCCTTACTATAAGGATGATCATAAATTAGATAGTTCCTTTTCAAAAATCAACTCACAAACTACTGCCAATATTTTGTTACATGAGCCTTCCTGAATGGCACAGAGACAGCATTATAGGTTCAATTTGAATAAGACATTAGGGTTATGTACTGAACCTAACACAGCAGAGGAAGGTAATGGATCTGATTGTCAAGGGCCTTGTAAATATATCATTTATATATAAACATATTCATAGAAGAAAAACCATTTCAGGTGAGCCTTGCAGGATGAAAAGCATCAGCCATGTAAAACTAGCAAATATGGGGTAATATGACCCAATATGGAAGACAGAGACAAGACTTAGGCGATGAGGAAAGTTAGGGTCGTTGGATGTTGGAATCGCTCACGAGGTTAAGCAGAAGCGTGGCCTGTTGAGAATGGAGTTTGTGGTGATTTCCTGACCCCTGACTGGGAAAACCAGCCAACTATGATGCTCACACATACACTTTCTTAGACTATAACCCTAGAATTATGGAGTTTCTTGTTAGGGGAAATCCTACAACTTGAGATCTGGCTCTGTCATTGTATCCTTGCAGATTCTTCTGGCAATGATTGAAGAGAAACCACTAGGGATGTCGCATTTTGAGACACAGTGGGTTGGTTGGGATGTTGCTTAGCATCATTTAGGGATTCTATTGCCAGGGGTGTCAGCAGGAGCCCCTGAGGGTTGCAGACTTTTGGGTCCTTAAGAATACAGAACATTCATTCCTCTGTCTTCTCCATAACCACATCCTCCAGATGCCAAATTTGGAGAACCAGTAGGAATCCAGAGTCGCTTGTAGCCAGAGAGAGATTGAATCCAGATACCCCAGACAGGTGGGGAAGCCACCATAATACTCCACTTTGGGGACTGTTTCCATTGAGAGATTGGCTCACCCCCTGGAAAGCTGCTAAAATGAGTTAGATGGCATAGTAAAGAAACTGCTTTTGACTGTTAAATTGCGGCTGACTCACTCATCCCCAGAATGTCAGGGCTGGAAGGTTTCTTAGGCATCATCTCATCCAACCCACTCATTTTCTAGTGAGGGAACCACACCTTCTTCATGTTTTGTGCCTGGGATACAGACTGATGCCTTTCATATAGTATGTACCTAGGAAATGTTTCTAAAGGAGTTATTTCTGAAGACAAAAATTAGGCAAAAGATGCTCCTACAACTGCACAAAAAAGCGTCTCACTGGATATTATTATGCCATTAAAATTGTTGAAGGTAAAGGTCTTCTGGCCAACTGTTTCTGTGTTACTAGACATCAGAGGTGTGTGCAGCATCAGGACAGCTGCCAAATCCCGGGCAATATGAGTGATTTAGTTTACAGTCATCTTTCTAGTCCTGTCGGGTCCATGGAAAAAGGGGAGTCAATAGGCTGCGTCCTCTGCACCACTGCTTTTACCCCAGACCCGCCTGTTGTTCACTCAAATGTTCCTAAGTCGGTGTGTTTTCCCTTTCCTTGGCCTCCTAGAGAATTGGGATCAGCATGTGACCTTTGCCTAGAAGGGAGAATCCTGGTGCAATATGCGTTCAATGCCTCCTCCCCGATGCCCTGTGGACCATCAGGACACTGGAGTCCTCGGGAAGCAGAAGGTAAGTCAAAGGATGCTAAAGATAGATCACAGGGAAGGAAAAGGATCAGAGAGGAAAGCTGAAAACAATGACCCTATGCTTTATTTTCTGAAGTAGCTTAAAATAAAAATGAGTTTCGAATGTGGGAACTCTGGATAAATCTCTGCAATTTAAAACAAGAGCAGTGTCTGGGAGAAGCCCTAAGTTCAGCTCTCATAGAATCACAGGCTGTCAGACACAAAAGGGACACCTGAGGTCATGAAGCTCCAGTCCCCATCTGGTGAAGGAATATCCTCCATGGTCTTCCTCACTAAGGCATGCCCTAGTCCTTTAGAAGGTTCTTCCTGAATCTGCAGACACAATTTTCCCACCCAAATGGAACCTGCACAGACAAAACTATGCATCTTTGAAACCTGAGAACACTTTGCAAACCTGCATAGCATCACCGACCTTACTGCGTACGTGCCATGCGGGTATATGCTGGGAACAGTCTTGGGTGCACAGGTGAGGCTATGCTGGCTACTCACCATGAGTGAGGTAAGCAGATTGGCAATGGGCGCGTGGTGGAAAGAGACCAAGCTGATCCAAGGTAAGGGCTAAAGGCCCAGTAGACAAGAGACGTCACCCAAGACTACAGAATTGGGCTTCCCGCTAAAGGTCACTAAACACATTGAAGCACTGAGATAATTTTAATATTTCAAGAAAAGAAGTTTCCTAGGTGTGGTCCAAAGTGTCCTCAAAGTCAGAATTATTTTCATAATTATTATGGCATCATTTACTGTTCCTTTTCCATTCTCTCCTGAGAACACGGTGGAGCTTTTCAGGGCCACAGAGCATGAAATGTTGTTAGTCCTCTGACAGATAAAGGAAATGTGCACCATACATTTTGTAACTGTACAATGCCTCTATTTGTAGATATACACTAGTGTACAAGTAAATACAAGCCACCGGCATAAATCTACTAATACTGCTATGTGTGCTTACATGGCCTCGCAGCCTGAGCAGCCTAGTGAGGGTGAGGTCAAGAGGATAATGCCTGCATAAGGATAGCTTTGGATTCCCACTGTTAACAGGGAAAAGATGCAACATACTTAGGTTAGAATAGATCATCACTTCGTAAACTGTGGGTTGAAACTCCATGTAAGTGTTGCATATCAGAACTAGCAACCACCAAAAACTAACTCACAAACACGTAATGAATCCGAGGTTTCTCTAGAAACACAAACCTATGTTGTACTCTGCAGCATCAATGAACACACCTGCACTTTGCACCATTATTGCTAGTGGATGCTGCTTTAAAGTGCCTCTGACTCCAGACAATTGGACATTACGAAGAGTGGTGTTTTTACTCTCCTTTCAAAGTGATTTGTTCACATACGAAACTAGTGATGTAATTACAGAAAACAGAGACTTTAGCATTTCCCCATTGTCATGTCTCACATGCATCAAGTTCACATATCAGAATTATATTGTGTTACAGTGTTTAATTTAATTTTTATGATCTTGGGGCTGCTGATTTGAATTTCATTTAAAATTTAACTGTGTTTTGTCTTAGGGTTAAGACAGACTTTCAAGCAATTTCCTACAGAGCTCTAAACACACTTTTGCCCGTTCTGTGCTATATTTTGAACAAAGCAGTATTCTCAACAGTGCTGATTTTAAAATCAAAATACCAATCAACTCTTCAAAACTATTGAAGATACTCTACATCTCGTAATTCCAAATACTCAGCCAAAATTTACTTCTTTATATAAAAAACAAACAAGCATATTCATACCATCAACATGCAATTTTCCTTTTGCCCTTACTAAATAACATTATATGTATACAGAAGAATTATTTTGAAGTAAGAATTCTAAGATTTGTTAGGAAGGTATGCTTGGTTTGTATACCCGCTTTTTAAGTACTTGTATGCAAGAAGCCACTTAAGAATATCTCAGATAGAAGTTTCGGAATTAGAAAAAGTAGGTGAAATGGTAAGATGTGCACGTCATAGAGAAGACTCTAGCTGTTCTGTGGTAAATATGTTAAAGGATGAAGATCTGGGAAAGGAAACAGCTTTTGGCTGTTGTTAGAAGCAAGGTGATTGAAAGTGATATCTGCAGTGATAACAAGGTTCTAAGGCAGAAGGTCTAAGCAATAGGGACAGGAACCAACGTTGTGAGATAACTGGGGGGGTAGAATCTGCAAGGGCCATCCTTGGATAAAAATCACCTTGGTCACTCTGATGCTTGTTTGCTAACATAATTTCCATCTACAATTACACACCGTCATGCAAACCAAATGTGTCAGCTAGTGAAATCTGTCCCTGGATTGTCCTGGCTTTCTTAAAGGCATGCAGTTCATTGTCAAGTACGCTGAGGAGGCCCCTGGATGTCTGAGCAGCTCCAGCTCCTAAGGAATACCTGGAATTTCCTATATACATTACTACATTCCTGCCAGGAAGAGACACCACTCTATGCTTAAGGCATCCTATTACATGCTCTGTGATCCATTTGGCTCAGACCCTTTTACTATTCTTACAGAAATAAACTTTTCTATGAACCAAATTCTATCATTTATTTCCCAACTCCTTTTCAGCCTACTTATCTTTGTGTACTTAAGTTTTGGGATTTCCTAAACTAACAGAAAACTCCCAAATTCATGAGTGATGCCAGACATATCTGTGGGGTTGAGAAAAAAAAGTATGGGTAAGAATTAAATGTCATGATCCTCACCCTGCTGTTGCCAAATATTCTGTGCCTTTGAAGTTCTTAAAGTTTTCCTAACATGGTATCTTACCCACAGAATGAACAATCAACCTATAATGCCCATTCTTAATTCCACATTAGTACTATAAAAAATTTTAAGTTGTAATGCTATCTGCTGGCTATCCACTGCACTCAATTAACCTTACTCCATATTAGGAAAACAGAAACAACAACAAACCTCACCTCTGTTCACAGGAAACAACTGTACACTTATCTCTAGAGCAAAATCTCTATTTCGTGGATACGTATTTCGTGAGGTATTTACCACAGTACATTTATAAAACAGAAACTAGGTGGGTGTATCTGACTGACACTTATGCAAGCATATAAGTTGTTCCAAATGTTGGGTTTTCCGTGAGCAATGGGCACGCGGCCCCACCTGTTTTCATTCTGTCCTGTTTGTGTGAGTGCTTGCTCCATTGTTCTTCCTAGAATAGTTCAGGTGTGCTGAAGCATGAATTTAAAAAATCTTGGCACTGATCTGTGTTCATGTCAACAGCTGCAGTGTATATTACTTAGACATACAATGGGTGTCTGTTTAGATCTTCACAAATGTAAATTTGGATCAGCAGAAGTATGTGGAAATATATTTCTGTACATGTCTTATTCTTAGCACATGGCTTATTCTGTACATGACTTTTTCCTAGTAGACTGCTTATATAAATGTGAGTTTTGTCGTGTAGTCACTACATACTCAAAAGGATGTGTGTTAATAAGGAATTAATAGGATCTTTTACCTCCCTTGATTTCTTCCTTTTTCACTCTATCCTTCTTTTCCTCCCTCACTTCTTTATATCTCCCCTCCCTCCCTCCATCCCTCCTTCCTTTTCTCCCTTCTTCCTTTCTTCTTTCCTTCCTTCCACTCTTTGTTTCCTATTCTCAGATCTTCTCTGTATCTCATGACCATGTATCCAATCAGTTTCAATCAGAACACAACTGTGGTCACTTTTTGTTACTCTTTGGGGACTTTAACTCATGATCTCTGGTGGCACATTTTTCCAAGGCATAGATGTGTATTCTCTCCATTAGCATAAGAATGTCCTCACTGACCTCATGAGACTAGAAGCTATATGAACACCAAGAGAACATCTGAAAATCTGTGACTTAGGGTCTACCCTAATAAAGGATACATGTTTAGGACTCTAAAATTATTATTGCAATACAAGGATAAACATATGGATGGATGGATGGATAGATGGATGTTATATGGAATGAGGAAGAGTAGGGGAAGTGAGAAAAAGATGGATTAATGGGAAGGTGGATGGATGGTGGATTGGTAGCTGAATGGATGGACATGTGGAAGGATGAATAGACAGATGGATGATTGATGAATAGGTAGTACCTATTTCTCTAAACAGTGCTTTTTTAAAGACATGTTATGTCACTCGCTTGCTTAAAATTTACAAGGAGTTCTTCATATATCTGTGTATAATTTATGTCCTGTAATGTGATACAAAAATCACCTCCTGATGTGGGTTCTGTTTACTCTGCTATCAGTACTTACTACTCTCTTTTTGTCAATGCAAGTCATGCAATTTGTTTTGTGCAGTGCCCACACAAAGAGGCTGGTTGGTGTATGGATCCTGATATTATTACTAACAGGCTTGCTTCTTGGTGATAAGTTGGAATTTGTGACACTTATTTTCCTTTTTTTTTATACCCAAGAATATGTCTCTCATAATAGGACATGTAGAAGCTTTGCTAAAATTTCTACTCCTAGGCTGGGTGTTGGTAGCACACGCCTTTAATCCCAGCACTCGGGAGGCAGAGGCAGGCAGATCTCTGTGAGTTGGAGACCAGCCTGGTATACACAGCTAGTTCCAGGATAGCCTCCAAGACAATACAGAGAAACCCTGTCTCGAAAAACCAAAAAAAATTTCTATTCCCATGCACCTATTTGAACATGATGATAAATAAGACTTGCCTTATCCTTTGGAAAGCATTTGGTCCCTTTGTTGATTAACAAGAAAACAGAAAAGAATGATGTGCCAACCAAATTTGTCATCTTTGTTCTCCTGTGCCATCCTACCACTGATAGATTTGCGAGAGAGAAATGTTCATTTTTGAGAAATACTGATCAAATATCTACTATGTGTAATCTCTGCAGACCAGGTACTGTATTGACTACTCACAGCACTGAATAAAGTAGATCTGCAAAGCAGAGACAGCAATACTGTCTTACAAGTTACTTGATGAAAGTTACTTGAGTTAACTACTAACTAGGGAATGTTCTTCATATCCTGTAAGCTGTTGTCATGGATAGCGGATGCTGGATGAATAAGAGATCCATGTGCCTTTGCAATCCAAAATTGAGAATCAGAAATATAGTAGATTGTAGAGTAGATAAGGAGATTTCAGCTAGGTGAAGAATCATTGTGCTTTTTCCTTAAATCAAAAGTTGCTTCTAGTCAGCAGTAGCTATTAGTGGAGCAAGAACCTAATCAAGGTGTGCTGGAGGAAATCTTGTAGTTATGATTAGCTCTTCTTGGTCCAGTGTGTTATCTATAAAAATGTCTTTGTGCATTTTCCCTCCTCCCATTTCTTGTCTTTTCCTGCTCTATTTCCCACCTCTATTTTGTAATATCTCAGTTCTCCCTCTTTGGGAAAAGATAGTACTGCAGGGGTTGTTAAAAACCTTCACTGCAATTACTCCCCCACACCTGGATTTTTAATGTTCATATGCTATTGTTATTCCTGTTGCCCCACAATATCACCACAAAGTGTTGTCAAACTAAGTTGTTTTTCTTCTTCTCTTGATTTAGAAATATCCAATATGCTCACTCTCTGTACATGCATCAACAGCAATAACAACACAAACACCATCACACAGAGATTCTTAAGGGGCCGGGGATACGGCTACCAATACAACTTGAAACTCTCTCACCCTGTCCTCACCAGTAAATCTCTGTCTCTCTTAAGCAAATAAGAGCTGATTACCACATTGAGTTATGATTACTTTTCTCAGAAGCAAGAAAGATAGTTCTCTGAAAGTCTAGGTGTGACCTCAGCAGAGAAGAATTTGGAAGTTGCTGCAGACTGAGATGAGTGGAGATGAAGCGCCCTTTCTCTGAGGAAAAGTAGCAACATCACATTTTTCTTCTCCCACTCTGTTGTCCTTGAGTCAAAGTAGACAGAACACAGAGGTGTGGAATGACCTCATGTAGGGAAAGGGAGGAGGAGAGATAAGATGGCCCCAAGTCTGACTTGTGGTTCTGTCATTCATCGTTCAGTTTCCTCCCAGACTTTAGAAAGAGTGTGTCCTATCTCTGTTCCCCTCTTCTGCTGAGTATTTTCTGGTACTTCTGTAAATCTAAACCAAAGTCAGTGGTACCTGGCCCTCTAATTTCAGTGATTGCTGCGTTTAACAGGGACTTTAAGGAACAGGCCTTTGTTCAATTCATTCTGTTTTTGAACCTTAATTGCCTCATTTAAGAAATGAATCCATTCGAGAATTAAACAAGCTCATGGGACACGGAGGATGTTCACACAAAGTGTCTCTTCTTTCTTTCTTTCTATACCAGGCATCAAAGCTTCTAAATCAGAGCTTAGGAAGGAAAGTCTGAGCATTGGCTCAGTAGTAAGACACTTGAACTTCACTTAAAATGCTGTGTGACTCATCCTGGATCTATTTTGCAGGGTTAGGGATGAGCTGAGTATTCTGCACACAGCAGAATTTCCATGACACTGAGACCCACTCTTTTATCTCTAAGTTCTCATCAGACAAATCTTTCCCAGGGTCTAAGGGAAACTATGAAAACCATAATGAAGCAAGAACTCATTTGCGTCTCTTTTCTCCATAGGTCATCCAGATGTTGAACAGCCCTGTAAATCCAGTGTCAGAACTTGGAGTCCGAATTCAGCTGTCAACCCACACACAGTCCCTCCAGCCTGTCCTGAGCCACAGGGCTGCTACCTCGAGCTGGAATTCCAGTACCCCTTAGTCCCTGAGTCTCTCACCATATGGGTGACCTTTGTCTCCATTGACTGGGACTCCAGTGGAGCTGTCAATGACATCAAACTATTGACTGTTGGTGGGAAAAACATCTCTTTGGGTCCTCAAAACGTTTTCTGCGATATCCCACTGACCATCAGACTCCGGGATGTGGGTGAGGAGGTATATGGTATCCAGATCTATACTCTTGATGAACACTTGGAGATTGATGCAGCCATGCTGACCTCCACTGCAGACAGCCCACTGTGTCTGGAGTGTAAACCCCTACAGTATAAAGTGCTGCGGGACCCACCTCTCCAGGAAGACATAGCCTCACTACTACACCTCAACAGAAGATTCATTGACATGTGAGTGTCTTCTCCCTATCTGGAGCTCATATAATGCTTGGGCTGTGGAGAGATATGGGGAAAGTTCATCTCAGTCAGACTTACTTCTAGAGATTTTATCCCAGTGTTGACTGGGAATTTGTTTTAATAAGGCAGAGTTGGTATAATAGGAAGGACCATGAATAATCAAAGGGGTCAGGCATGGAGACATTTCTTCTCTGTGACCTTCAGTTATCTCTTCAAACTTTGGTATTTTCAACAGCAAACAAGGGAGTTGGGTGTGAATGGCAGTGAAGAAGTCCTTTATTACCAATGAACAGGCGAGAGATGAACTTTGCTAATGATTCCTCTTTATATAAACATGAAGCAGATTTGTGCATTCTGATTGCTTATCCAGTGTACAAAAATGATGATGCAGTAACAACTTCAGTGGAACTTGGGTACACGCCTAGGCAACCGCATGAAAACATTCCTAGACATTCAGTATCTCTAGTCACCATCTTTCTGCTTGTTTTATTTCCTGAGGTAGAAAAGAGTTCCTAACTTCTTTGATCATTGAGGATCTTGCTGCTGTAGAGATCCGTCACTGCTTTTGTGGGTGAAGAGGAGATGCTCACTATATTTTTCTTCAACATATATTTCTTAAGCACTTTCCTAGCATTTTCTTTACATTTTTGGGGTACATGTCTTGTGAGAAAGATGCCTAGAGATGAGGTCATTAGGGGTGTGTGTGTGTGTGTGTGTGTTTATCACTTATCTGTTGTTATGACAAAAAGAAGTCAACTGAAGTAAATTGAGGGGAAAGCTTACATTGTCTCTAATTTCAGAACATTCAGGATATTGTCCGTTGAACATGTTCCTACTGACCATTGCTGCAGGGAGAACAGAATTACATGACAGAGACCATAGAGTAGAGCAGTGATGCTTGATTTATGACATCAAAAAAGTTCCACTTTCATCAGTGATTTTCCAGAACTCAATAAATTTAGGAATACATGAATATATTGATCTTTTTAGGATATCAAAGCCTTTGTGATCTAGTCACATCTCAAAGGACCCCACATCTGCATTCTGCTTCAATGGGAGCAAAACCTTCGATACATAAATTCTCAGGAGATATTTAAGATTTAAACCATAGCATCCTGTCTACCAGACAGAAGTCTATAATGAAGTCAGTGTCACTCATTCATCTCACCCTTCTATAACCACAGCCTACAGTCATTATCAATTTGCAAAGAAGGAAAAAGGATGCTTGCAGATGCGAGGTCACTTGTTTAGAGAGTGATGAGTGGAGATTGGAATGTAACCCCAAGTCAGTTGAACCAACTTTTGTTCTGTCAAAAATTTGTCTAGCTTCTAATTTAGTCTTTAAAATGTGGTGGAGGCCTAAATGCCTAATTTTGGTGTGAAGAGTGTTCGGTCAATCGACAAAGCTTATGAATTACTTCCTATGTGCTAGAAATGCTGGTGGGGAATATTCTGAAAGAACACTAGCCTAGAATGAGGATGCTTCATATTTAGCCCTAGTCAGTCCTCTTACTCATATGGTACGGTAAATTAGTGACCCTCTTTGAGCACTTCTTTTTCCTCTGTTTGATGAAATTGCTGAACTCCATGATTTCTCTGAGTTTTGTGTGGCTCTTTATTCGTTTCTAAGGCGATGATATAAGACACTATCGCTACTCTGTGTACTCAAATATATTTACTAGGCCAATCATTAATTGAAACCAAATTCTGGAAGGGAACATTTAACCTTTTTAAGAGACAGAGCCACTTTCAAACCCTTTACCCTTTCAATGCCAGCAATTAATGAGCACCTCTCAGGCAAAACGGTGCCTGTTCATTGAATGGGAGATGAACAGCATCTGCTTAAGAACTCAGAGAGGGCACTTGGTTTGTGTTGGAGAATGTGCTTAAAACCTAAGTACATCCTCTCTTCATGAAAATATTCCATAACCCTGTCTCGCCCATCTCCTCACTTGTGTGGGCTGGTAACGTTCTGTAAATTTGTAGCCACACAAGATTTCTTTATAAAATAATAGGGAAAGAAATGATAGATGTCTTAAAGCCTCAGTTTAAACACAGCTTTCTTTTTTGGGTTTTTTCTTCTTTCTTTTTTCTTTTGATTTACGAGCCTGTGAGAGCTGACATGGGTTTGATAAGTGCAGAATGGTGGAAATGAAGCAGAAGAAAGAGCCTCCAGGATTCTATTCTCTGCTAAGTCACTAACCCATTCTGAGATCTTGGATGAGTCGCTTACTCTTTCTGGTCCTTAGGTGACTCAATTCCATAAGAGGAAGGTTATACTCAAGTTGCGGCTCTTAAGTTAGGTTGCTTATTTCAAAACCTTGCTATTCTTTTAAATGGCCCAGTTTTCACCTTCTCTCTCTCCCACCTTCCTCTATGGTGTTGACTTAATAGTAGCCCTGATGATCAGGACTTGTAAACATCTCATGAAGTCACTAAATATGTCATGAAGTTTCAAACCTACTGCTCATAAACAGCCTGTCTCCCAGCATGTTGCCCAAGATCAGTGGCATTAGCCTCTCATGGGAACCCAGAAAGGCCAGGTTCTCAGGCCCTGGCCAGCCTGCTCAATCAGAAATCCCATGTTCAGGGCCTCCCTGGGTGATCCTCTTGCTAGGTAAAGTTTAACAGCCAGTGCTCTTGGTGAGCTCTAAGGCCCAGGAATCCCCAAATTTTCTTCTACTCTCAATGGTACTCTTTCAATTTACAAGTGTGAGTGGAAGGCAGTCTGTGTAGCCATCTATACTGGGAATTGTGAATGCCAAGAACCACTCAGATGCCCTTCAACGAAAGCACTCAACCTGAGTACTGAGGAGAGGATACCCCCACAGAGTCTCTGAATAGAAACAGTGGCTCTTATGCCACTTCATGTCCAAAAGCATCACTGTTAGATCCGCACTCCAATGTACCATTTGGTTTTGGTTTGGGTTTTGTATTTTTCCATTTGATAACAAAACATTTCTTTATCGTCTCTTGTATGTGACAAGTGCCAGACTTAGGTACTGATGAGCCTTTCAGTTTGCCTGTTTTTGTTAATGTATTTATTTTTATTTTATGTGTATGTTTTTCTGTGTGAACATATGTGTACCATATGTGTGCCCACAAAGGCCAGAGGAAAGCATTGGATCTCTCAGAAACTGAAATTACAGAAGGTTGAGAGCTACCATGTGAGAGCAGGGAATGGTACTCAAGTCCTCTCAAAGACGAGTAAGCACTCTTAGTCACTGAGCCATCTCTCCAGGCCCTCTTGAGATTCACACACACACAAAATTGTTGGAGGATAATGTTGGGTAAGGCTGGGCTTCCTCAACTGAATATATTCTTAATCACTAAGGAATAAAACAAAGCAACTTCACTTCAAGTCCATTTATCATTACAATTCTTCTTATATCTCTCAATAATTTGTGTATTGATGCCTACCACAAATCATGCATGTGCATGTGTGTGTGAGAGAGAGATAGGAGGGAGAGTGGTGAGAGAGGAGAGAGAGATAGCCTCTATTAATTTTTCCATATCAAATAAATTGGCTTTTATACAAGTTCTATACAAAGCCTGTTTTGGAAAAAAGAGAGGGGTCTCTTTTCTTCTGACTCAACCCATCACGTGATTCCCTTTGACCTTAGTATCCATTTTTTCTCCCAACAAAAATATTTATTCTTTCTGTTATCTGCGCTAGAGATAGTTTTCTAAGGTATGACATTGATGGAGAGAGCCTTCTATGCTTACTCCATGAAAGTTTCTGGTAGACTAATTACTTTTGGCTAAGACAAGAAAGAAATGTGGAATGGTTCCACCTACTTAAGCCAAACACTACATTGTATGAGAATTGACACTATCAGAATTAAAGGGCTGGAGCCAACTTTGCTAATAACTAACAAACTAACTCAACATGTGACACCAAGACACATTATGTCACCTTTTGGGCCTTGATTTCCGTTCCTATAAAATATAAAATGAAGGACCAGCACATTAAGATTTTCTCTGTGGACAAATCTACACAGAAAGGCTAGTTTGGGAAAAGTGAGGCTTATAAGTTTTTTGCAGGAAAAGAATTCAACATGGGCTGCTTATAATAATTAGTTCTTATGAGACTCCAACTGGCTCAAAAAACCTTACTGAAATGTGTTAACTGAGACAAATACCAATAATTTCCTGTTCATACTGCTTTAAGTTCCTTCTAAATATTTACAAAGCAAGTAGGAAATTCAAACATCAAAATGATGTATCCAGTCTTAAATGACTAGCTCATAGTCAAGTTCAAGTCCCATATCTAATTTCAAATTCTCCCTCCTAGCCACTCTCTCTACCTTATACTTTCATATTAGAAGGTAGACTCTATGAGCATTAAGGGTGCACTGCCTTGCCCAGATTTCTAGGCACAAGATACAGAATGTAGGGTTGCCGGGCAGATGCCACCAGCCAACAATCAACTCCTGTGGCCTACTGCTGGTATCAAAGAATACATAACATGGTTCTTTATGATCCTGGGTAAGAAAAATAGAACATATTTGTTTTTAAATTTCCTTGGCTTTCATATAGTCTTTAGATTTTCCCCAAAATTGAAGACTTTCTATTAAACTAACCAATGATAGAAGACAGATAGATGATAGATAGATAGATAGACAGATAGATGATAGATAGATAGATAATGTGAAGTGCTAAGTACTACTAGGAGCAGTAAATAGCTGTTCACTCACTAATTTTCACTTCTTTCTATTTCATCCACTTAACAACTCAGTTAACAAATACTCAAATATTCAATGGCTGTCTGTTTGGGGCTGTCCTCTATGTTTCGAAATGAAGAAAGGATGTTGCTAATTTCTCAAGGTTTTCAGGCTCTATGGGAAACAGTGTTATCACTGTTGTAGATGAATTTTTCTTTGGGCTGCCAGCTCACAAAAAAATGACAGAAATTCATTATTAATTATGAAAGCTCAACCAACAGCTTAGGGTTGTCCCACTATCTCTTATAACTTAAAATAACCCATTTATAC